TGTGAGGTCGTAGCAAGGCTGGACAGCAGACTACTGTAGGGCGTGGGGAGACCAAGGCCAGGTAGGGCTGGCCTGGAGGTCCATCAGGAGCAGCAGGACTATGACAAGAAAAGACTCAAAATGTTGTAATTTAGAAGCAGAACTTTTTAAAAATCACTGAGACATCTTTGGATCTCTCTCTACTAGAGTTTTGTGATTTCAATTAATCCGCCCCTATAGGGAACCACAAGTTAGGTTCGCTTGGTCTAGCAAATTATTTCCATGGATATAGAAAGCGCCAGGCCTAGCCCTAGAGTCAGAAGACCTGGGCTTGGTCCTCAGGAGCCACTTAGCTGCATGACCTTGAGCAAGTCATGCAACCTCCATTACCTAGTCCTCCTCTCCTAGTGGAGTAATAGTGCCCACTTTATAGCATAAAACTTTGCACTTTTAAGAAAATTTCATCATTTTCGGAATTCTTTCATATGTACTATCATTGTCAACGAAGTGTAAGGGCGGTAGCACCTTTGACAGGAGTTAACAATCAAAAAGAATTTCTCTATAAAAACATCTACATAATGAACGAAAAAGCACCAAACTCTCTATTACTTCCCGTGTCAGAACTCAGAAGGAACTCCCAGTTAGGCACACAAATTAAAACTTCTCTTTGGATCCCCTTCAAAGTGAGCAAGAGGACATGGACAGCAGAGTGGCACTGCCTACAACCAGCAAATACTCATTAGCATCAACTTCAATTCACGTCAGTTTTGTCTCCTCCCTTCCTCCCTGCAGTAAGGCTTTCTCTTAGGTTGCTGTTATTACTTCAGGGAGTTAAGTCTCCAGATAATTCTGAATGTGACTTCCTAATGGCCACCAATACTCACTCCAGCTAATGAATCTACTCTTCTGAGTTATTATTCAGAATTTAGCAATAACAGGAAGGGAGGAAAATGTAAGGGAACAGAGAAATGGACAGATTTCAGAAGGTTAGGGAGATTGAGTGACCAAGTAGCCAAGTGGGAATGTAATATGTAAAATTCAGCAGGAATACAAAATCAGAAAAAGAACTGCTCCACAGGGTACAGAATCAAAAGACTAAGTGTGGCTAAGTCTCCATGGCTGCAAAGAGGAAATAAATTAGATAATCATCCAGAAAGATGCTTTTTGGCTGGATCTCTAGATCATTGTCTCAACCAGCGACTAACAGATAAGTCACTGGGGAGCCCTGATTCCCTATCTTTCATCTAAGCCAGTGGCTCTTAGCCTTTTCTCCACCTTCAAACCATTTACAGTATTAACCCTTTCCTCTCTGTAACATCTCTCACTACAAGCAGAGATCGGGGGTGGGGAAGGATAATGTGATTGACCCCTATTCTGATATACGGCTTCCAGAATCATTAATTTTAATAATTTGGAAATCTATCAGAAATCTACCCCATTGTCATAAAAAAAAAAAAAACAGTGCCCAAAAAACCTCCCTGTTTTATGAACTGTTTAAATATAATGGAGCTAAAATATCAGAACTGGGTTTCAAGCCATGAATCTGACATATGGAACACGAAGAACAGTAATCAGATTAAGCAACTAATCAGGATGACCCACATCCTGTAAAAGCAACCTTTCCCTCGGGGTCAGACTGGTGTGTGGAAGGCGTTTCTCCCTTTCATATCTTATCACTTTTAACCACTTCTTCAGTCAGGATTTAAAGAACACTTTGAAAAGACAACGCCTCTCTATGAATTTTATCAAACAGGGGAAACTATGCTAAATTAACCAATTATCCTTCTTTCTTTATTCTTAACTGATCAGAACCTTAATTAGTGCCCTTCATGCTCACAGACCCTGCCCTGTGTCTCACCATTCTGCTCCTGGGAAAAGCAGTTCAGAATCCACCTTCTTCATGAACGTTTTCCCAACATCAACCACCATGTTAATATACTCAACCTACCCTTCAGTTCTTCTGGATCCATATAAAAATGTATTACTCTAAGGAAATATGCTATTCCATAGTATATCATACCTCTCTGGCCAACCAGACTACCTCAATTTTGACAAGAATCAACATTAAATAAAACCCAAATGTCCTAATAAAAACCACAGGGCACTAATTAAATATTTTTGATGGAAGTATGCCAAAAGGATATCTCTTAAAGGAGAAGTAAATGTAAAATAGTCTCAAAGATAGGCTTCCTCCAAAAAGGATGATGTATCAAGACTGAAATGTTATCTTTTTTGAAGCTCCCTGAACAAGCTTACACAAAGATTAACAAGTAACAAATCACTTTAGAGAGGTTCTCCTCATCTGGGAGAAAAATAAGCAAAATAAAAGGTGGAAAAAAACAACATCAAAAGCAAAAGCTATTTCGTTTTGGAAAAAAGTAAGAGCAAAAATAAATCCATTTGGCACTCCAAAGAAATATTGTCATTTCCTTGCTCTTCTATGTATCCCAGCACTGCTTCAAAGTCACTCATTTGTACCCAAATCAGTTTGGTGGCACAGGATAAATACCAGTGAGGATAATTACTATTAGAAACACTCTTCTGGAGGGATCCAGGAAGAATTTTCTGGATAATTAACAAGAAATGACTTAAGTTATGTCCATAATGCAAATACACTCATTTGAAAATATAAATGTACATTTAAGAACAATGGTCCTGAGAATTAGGGATGAGGGGCGCCCGGCCTGTGGGGCTCAGTGGTTGAGCATCGACCTATGAACCAGGTGGTCACGGTTTGATTCCATGGTCAGGGCACATGCCCAGGTTGTGGGCTCGATCCCCAGTGTGGGGCCAGCAGGATTCAGCCAATCAATGGTTCTCTCTTATCACTGATGTTTCCATTTCTCTCTCCCTCTCCCTTCCTCTCTTGAAATAAAAAATACATTTTTTAAAAAAGAAGAAGTGGGAGAGGAGGGAGGTCATTTAAAAAAAATAAAAAGGATGAGGGGCAAGGGTTGGGGGTGACGATCATCAGGCAACTAGGATGATCTTCACAAACATAAATAATGCCATCAAAATGCAACCATGCATATGATTAATGCACTTGTTCAGCAAATACACGACAGCCCCTGGGTGCCAGACTTTGTGAATACCTTACAGATCTGCCATCCTGGACTCATTCTAAGGAAAGGAAAGAGAATTTGTCAAGTTTTTACTCAAAGGAACCTCCTTAAGCTTCCTAAAGCTCTTCCTTAATTACATCAGTACTCTTAACATAAATATTTACTTTTTTTAATTAAGAAAAAAGCAGGATGCCCTAACTGGTTTGGCTCACTGGATAGAGCGTTGGCCTGCAGACTGAAGGGTCCCAGGTTCGATTCCGGTCAAGGGCATGTACCTTGGTTTCGGGCACATCCCCAGTAGGGGGTGTGCAGGAGGCAGCTGATCGATGTTTCTCTCTCATCGATGTTTTTAACTCTCTATCCCTCTCCTTTCCTCTCTGTAAAAAATCAATAAAATATTTTAAAAAAGAAAAAAAAAAGAAAAAAGCAGGATGTCTTCAAGCTTGGGAAAAGCAGACTGGGAAATATGTCCAAATTGAAATAACAATTGGGCCCAAACTACCTAAACTGGTACTAAGAAAAGCACACAGTCCAAAAGTATGGTGTTTAAAGGTTGGCTCAAAGAATAACTAACATGAATGAACACTGTAAACTTTTCAGCAGCCCTATCCCGATATCAAAAGCCCAGTTTTGCAAGATAACATCAAGCTAAACTTCTATTCCTGGTGAAACATTCATCATTGTTCTGACCACATATACCTTGAAAACCATCGTGCCCAGAACAATGTCTGGTACATCACAGGTCAGTAACTAACTTTTGTGGTACAAACGTAAATGGGTCAATATTTTGTCATGATTCCCCTATGGGATCAAGGTAAGTTTTTGTGTTGCTGTTTTTCAAACCGCATCTGTGGTACTAGTGTCCCAAGAAGCACACTTGGAAAAATACTTGGCCACAGAAACACAATCCTATTAACTAACACAAACAGAACCTAGCTTGGCATTTCCACTACCGTGGATTGTTCTAGGGGAGATGCACAGTCTATCTGAAGGCCAAAATGTTCACCTCAACAGGTTATCCTCCATCCATTTGCTGGGACCTACGGCAGAGCCTGGTGACGGTGTTCACGCTCATGCCTGGGCTTATGCATCGCCCCTCATTTTTTTTTCTAACTAGAGGAAAAGCTGGGGACACGAACTCTGTTTTGCATTTACTAGAAGCACTGACAAACTGCCACAGCTCTGCTCCTATCCTCCCTTTTTCTCCTTTTTGCCTCTTCCAGGAACTACCTGTCAACCAGACCTGCACCTCTCACATGCATTAAACATATGACCTATTCATCCTCTTTACTGAATATTACACTTTAAGAAAAGTTAAACTATCGCTGTAGTTTATTTAAAATCTCTTTTCATCAATGCCACCATTCAGGGGGACATTTCCGTCCCTTCCCCAGTCTCTCTCTCCTAATAATAAATGTATCCTTTCCCCCTCCTAGGTTCCTCTAACTTGTCTTATTGGCCTCAAGCTGCACTCATGCCCCCAAATCAAAGGCTCCTCACTCTTGAATAACAGTTTAAGGTGAAGTGGAAGGATCACACATTTGATCCAAAAGAAAAAAAGGCAGCTATGGCAACAGGAGGTAGAAAGTTTACAGATCGTTAAGTTTATATGTCATTGTTTTAGAAATGAACAACGCACATGCAGCGAGCTTAAGAGCCTACCCATATGCAAGTAAAAGTCAGGGACTTAGGGGTTCCTTTCTGGGACACCTGAAGGAAGTAAAGGCACCGCCAACGTTTGAGGCGGGTTATCATTGCACAGCAACCGCGGGTCCCTCCGGGCCTCGGGTACGCAGCGGGCAGGCGCCCGCCAGACACGGCTCCCGGGGTCTGTGCTCACCACACAGTCAACCTGCCTCTGGGCCTTCCTCCCCGGAGCCCCCACCCGGAGGCCTGGGCACCCCGGGACCCTCTGCCTCGTCCCCAGGATCCGCAGGGCCGATGGGGTCTGCCGGGTACCTGGTCGTAAGGGGACTTCTCCAGCATCTGCGTGCACAGATCGGCGCAGAGCTGGAACTTCCTGCGCCTAAAATAGCTCCAGGCCAGGAACAGCGGTTCCATCTCTGGGGCCATGGCTGCCGAGGGCTGCCGGGGAAGGACCGCGGCCGGACCCGGGGAGGGCGGGACCCAGGAGCCGGCAGCGTCCAGCTCTGCCCGGCAACTCGGCGACAGGGGCCTAGTCAGAGAGGAGCCCTCATTGCGCCTGAAAACAGGAGGAAGGAAAAAAAACCGCAAACAGAACTCAGCTGCGGGCTTGCCCATACGCTAGGGCTTGCCAAACGTGGTGCAAGACAAATGTGTACTTTTAAAGACTACATGTTTCATTAATTTCGAGAAGGCAGCGTAACTAAATTAAGAGGCGGTACTTAGACACCTCCGACTGGGGTCCTCAACCTCCCCCTAGAGGCGCCGTTGCCTAGCAGCCGAACGCTCTTCTTACACTGCCAATCACAGAGTAGACCCTCCAACAGGTCACCGTCTTACTCTTTCTCCTTCACCTATTTTTATCCCAATCAATTGCCCTTCCGACTCTAGAAACACCAGCTTGCAAACCGCTTTTTCAATACCATCCTGCCCATTCGAACCCAAAGCCCTACCTAAAATCTTAAAACTCTCCAGTCTGTTTCTCGAAGTCCCTCTCACCAAATCCCAAAGTCCGAATTGAAAGGAACATTGAAGATTGCTTAGTTCAATACATTCATTTTTTACAGATGAGAAACTGAGATAGGCTGAGGAAGGAGAAATTTTTTTTACGTTATGTCTCATGGAGTTAGGGATCTGGGCCGTAATCTGTGTGGCTACCCACAGGCTGTTATTACTGTTTGTTAATTTGATGCTGCACAGGGATTCTGAGTTATAAATTATTCATTTTTACCAAACAAGATAATGTGTGCAAAAAATTAAAAACGAGCTTTTGAAACACCATCTTCAAGCACTTGCTGTTGGTCAAATGTTTACTTGTGCAGAGAATTTCTTCAGGCACAGTTCTGACTTTGCTCTAGATCAACACACATGACAAATATCTTTAATGGTTATGAAAGGAGAAGTGTGACTGGGTTAAATCCAGGTAGACTTCATTATGGAAGACTAGGGGATCTTTATTCTTTGCCTCCTTCCTACCGCAGTGGGAGAGGCAAGAGAGGAAAATTAACTCAATACTGAATAACTTTCTGATCAGGTCTCAATCTCCTTTATAGATAAGAAACAAACTGCCAACAGCGCAGATATTTATATATTTCATAGATGTAAAAATTAAACTTACCTTTCTGAGAAATGGGTTGTGAGTAATTTTTTGTTTGTTTGGTTTTTTTTACTCCTCTACTAGCAGTCTTTCTTGAATTTTTGCATCTTGAAGGCAATTAATTTCAGGATTATGATTATTATAATTACGTATTAAAATGAGTGCCTCTAGAAATGTAATCTGTTCTAATGCAGCAGCTTATTGTTTTAAGGTGGCAGATTTTTAGGGCCACACATGCTGGCATTTGGCAATTAGGCTCAATATTTCACAGGGTCTTTTCACTAATATCCTTTTTCTCTTCCAACATCTCACTTTAGATACAATATTCTATTTAGTCATCATGTCTCCTTTGGCTCCTATGGTCAGTGACAGTTTCTCAGACTTTCTTTGTTGAGGAGTGCCGGTCAAGTATTTCATAGGATGTCATGGAAGCTTCTAAAAATACGATGCCCAAAGTCCATCCCCAGATATTCAGTAAATGGTTTGAGGTAGGGCTGAGGAATCAGTATTTTTTTAAGTTTCTCAGGTCATTTTAATGGGAAACCAGGGTTGAACAACCACTGTGTTGAGTTCAAAATGGCCTTGTATATATTGAGAGTATTGCCAACTTTCTAGAGAGAAATAGATTTTTGTAAGTAGGATACGAAAAGTATTTTAAATATATAAGATATATATTTAATATGGGACAAAATAGAAGCATTAAAATATCTTAGGAGCATATAATTCATCTTAGCTTCTTTCAGAAGGTTATTCTTTCTCTTTCAGAAAGGTCAAATGGATGAGAAAAATTATAGAATACTTAGAAAATTGCAGAATGTTATGTCCAAATGTAGCATAAAATGTACCTTTAAAGGTAATAAACATGTTATTTTTAAATCATGTACATGTATTTATGTTAATTTTATGAATGTGTATTTTTTATCATTTCTAATAATGCAGAAATCATTTTAATATCATGCCATTAATAAGAAAAATTGCTGTTGTAACAGTTCTTGGTGAAGGGGGTAGATAAGAATTACTGGGGCCATTTTCTTACTGGAGAAAACGAAGCATAGCAAAACAACATAATTCCTTTGAAAGGGTCAGTTTCACAATCAGAGCTAGATCTCAGTTCACGGATCCTTATCTTTAGCTCTCTAGCAACTGAATATCGCTTTAGGTTAATTGGGCTTGAAATCAGATACTGGAGATCATGTAACTTTAAATGTCAAAAGTTAAATTTTCTTAAATGTTAAATTGGAGTTATTCAGGCCATGAAAACTTAACCCAAAAGAAAAGCAAAAGCATAAAATAAGATATTCTCTTGGTCAACTATTATTTGTGTAGGCCCTATGCTTGGTGATAAGAATGCAGAGATGAACAAGACAGGTGCCCCACCCTAAGGTTATTTATGTACAGAGTGGAGCAAAATAGGTTGACAGTTGTTCATATGGAAAATAATACAATAATTTATAAATAATAATACAAGAATAAACTCTGTGCTTGGCCTACTCTCAACTGTTAATCTACTTTTGCCCCACCCTGTATGAAGAGTAGTCAGTGGAAAGAGCATTGAACTTCAGTTCAGACTGACTGTGTTTTCTCAGGCAAATTAGCTATTGCATGGTGATTAAGAAGTGGGCTCCGAAGCCAGATTTCCTATATTTGAACCCCTTATCACCAGAAAGGGACCAGGCTGAGGCAAGTCTGCCCCAGCACAGTTTGACAGCGTTCTTGACTTCGTTCAGGAAAGAATTCAAGACACGAATCCAGGTGATTTTGAAAGAGGACACTTATTAAAACTTGGGACAGTAATTCTTATCTACCCCCTTCACCAGGAACTGTTACAACTACTATTTTTCCTATTAATGTTTCCTATTGAAGTCTAAACCCTAAAGGCAGGGCTTAGACTAGAAGAACCAACAGTAACAGGAGTGAGCCTAGGCTGGGCTGCTTTTGGCTCACTGAAAACTTAGGCAAGCCCTGGTTGGCCGGCCCTAGGCCTGTGTGTTATGCCTAGATTTCAGGATCCCCAAAAGACCACCAGGGAGCCAGCCGAGTCCAATGCAAAAGCAAAAGAGTCTTTATTTGAGCTAGCTCGAGCTCCCCGTCCACCACACTCGCCAACGCAGCGGCAGGAGGCAGAGAGAGAGAGAGCTCTGTGTGGAGAGGGGTTTTATAGGGGGGTTGGAGTAAGGGGAGGAGAGAGGACTGTGGGCCCTGCCAATTGGCCAGGCGCAAGTCGGTGTCTTGTTACACAGGATGTGGTCGTATCTATGGTGCGCACTTCCCTTGATTATCATTGGTTAGTTTAAAGAAATCCTAGGTGTGGCTAGCAGAGGCTTGGGCTTCCGGGAAGAAGCTCCTTGCTGAGCACATGGCTAATGGCTGCTGCCCAAAAATGGAGGATCCGGGGCAAGATGGAGGGCGTAGCCCTCGCCCTTTCACTGCGCATTGAAAGGTTTCAGTCCAATTTTCCCAACGGAAAAAAGATCCTCGGGTGAGGTTAACAAAAAAACAAAACTAACAAACAAAAAAAATAACTTAGGCAACAGGAGGGCTCTTGAGCTTAGGAGAAAGTAAATTGCACACATGAGGAAAGGAAGGAGCGGGTGTGGCCCAGGGAGGCAGGTTGTGTATATAAAGGCCACCACAGTCTCATAAAACGGGGGATGATGGTGATGATGATATGAGAACGATGATGGTAGTGGCTATTTATGGGCTGGTTCTGGAGATTAAATCAACTTGATTCAAGTAAGGTGTAATTACATTGTTTTTTCAAAGGAACATAGAAATGCTTTGAGGTGGGAACCAAACAATGTATGCAACCAGGATCTCCTCAATTTTCTGTCAGACAACATTTATTTCATGCTAGAGCAGTGGTTCCCAACTTTTTTGGCCACGCCCCACCTAACCAACTCTAAAACCCTGATGCCCACTCTGTGGCATACAATTCTTGTTATTCAAAAAGTGAACTCCTATTCACGTGGAGGAAGCCTAAAAGGCCATTGACTTGGTCTAAACAAGCTTCCAAAGAACATGGCATCCATGAAAGAGAAAAATAAAAGAATGAAAGGACAGAGAAGGGGAGAGACCAAGATGGCGGCGTAGGTAAACACCGGAGACTGCTGCTGCATACAACCATTTCAAAAATACAACTAAAAGACGGAACGGACATCACCCAGAACCACAGGAAGGCTGGCTGAAGAGAGACTCTACAACTAGAAGGAAAGAGAACAGCAAACCGAGGCTCAGAGGAGGCGCAGTGTGGAAAATACAAAGGTACCGAGGTGCGCGCGAAAGCGGGCTGGTGGCTGAGGGCGCGGTTGTCGTTTTCGGTCGGGAGTGAGTCTCAGACTCTGGGCTCCAGATCCGGGCGAGTCTCTAGGGATTCAGACTCAGACGGGAGAAGTGGGATTATCCGGCATCAGTTGGAACCTGAGGGCAGCTTTCTCTCCGAGGTTTGCAGCGGCTGCCGGGGTTCTGAGAAGCAGAGCCTCTGGGAACGGGACTGAGAGCGGCCATAACTGCTCCCTCCGCCCGCCCTGTTGAGCCCGCCCCGCCCAAGCCCTGCGCACAGCCATTTGCTGATCGCCTCAGGCAAAGGCTGGATTAGCGCCTTTCCAGAAGACAGACGTTTTCCACACAGCTGATTCCTACAGCCAGTCGGCCTGGTGGTCAAATCCCTCTAGTGTTAACTACAACAATTAAGGCTAGGCTAGAACAAGACTGCGCACAAAGACCACAAGGGGGTGCACCAAGAAAGCATAAAAGATGCGGAGACAAAAAAACATGACAGAAATGGAGGATATGGAGCTAAGAATCGCAATTTTGAGGGCTTGCTATAAACTTGAGCAGAGCCTCACAAAAACTAATGAGACCCTCGATGCTACGATAAAGAAATTAGAAAGTAAGCATACACGGACTGAAATAAAGAATATTATACCCAATAGCAGACCAGAGGAGCACAAGAATCA